GCTAACATGTTGCCCGAGTGGTCTGGTATTGGTACGACTTGGACACTAGATTCCGGAACGAACGATCCTATAATCATACCGTTGTTCCTAATCTCGGAGATAGTATTATTTTGTTTCAGGGAGATATAAGGTGAGGTGAGGGTTAAGTTGAGTAACCATTCAGGCTCTTTAAAATCTGATAACGACACCCGCCTATACACGTTGTCTTTGAAGTGCAGGATGTATAAGGTGTCTTCCTCACCAGATTGATTGTCCCCTAAGTCGTTAAGTGTAGTGTTGGGGTGAAGCCAAGACATTGCTATAATACTATTACGATATTATTTCCAACTGGTTTTCTGATAATAGTTCAGGGGTGCACTTCACCCCCATGAAGTGTATGTTGTCGGGTAGGAAGATCTTGGTTAGTGATAACGTGTCTTCCACGATCACGGTGACACCCTGCAGACTGGTTTTGGAGTCGACACCCACCCGCACGTAAACGTTGCAAACGTGATACTGTTGTTGTTTCCCCCACCGGAGTTTGACCCCCTTCACGATTTCAACATCATCCTGCGATGGTTCCCCTAGGTAGACTTGGATGACCAGTGTTGAGTTCGCCGGTAGACTCTCCAGGATGGTGACCACGCCTTCGAATTCAGACACCAACTGCAATACCACGTTTTGCATGCCCGCTTTACTCGATAGCATGTGGGCTGCCATACTGGCGAGTGGGCTGATGACTACGCTACGTCTCTGAGTCGGGACGTAAGCCACGAGCAGGGTTCCGTTGTTCACGACTTTGTTTAGGTGGTTGTCTTTGTTATCCGTGAACACGTAGGGGGAGCCGAGCCTAATATTGAGAAACCAGTCGACTTTATCGGATAATAACACCCACTTGTCTTCATCGGTGAAGACGAGCGTATATGGTTTGTTTCGGGCGACGGTAGTGCTCTCAACATCGGTTAAGTCGAACAGTTTGCCCCCGAACGATGGGTATATTATCCAGTTATCATCACCGGTGTTGACAAGGGTGTACTTAGTGTTGACGACCGCTCTTGAGGTATCTACTATATCACTTAGGTTGCTTGTACCATTGGAGGGGGACTTCAACGCGTTTGTAAATGCTGTTTTTCAGTTGCAAGGCGTACAATTTACCATCTACTCCGGGGTCGTCGAATCCGCGTGTGTCCCCGAGGTCGGAGATCCCCACATTGATGCATTTTTTCAACTTCATTCCGGGACCTTGTGCGCTGGTCATTTTATGTGCAGGGTTATGCTGAGGTATCCTATATTCACGAGATTATGATTTATATCTAACACCGATATTATCAGCTCAGGGATGTTGCCCTGGGTTAACCTCTTATACTGCCGCGGTGAAAACGACTCGGTTCTGCAATCGTTGTATTTCTCCGTTTTCACCGGTACGGCTCTCAGTATAGTGGAAGGGTGGCCCCCTTGAATGTTGTCCGTTGTGCTCACCTGGCTGAGATGAATGCACAGCTCTCGGTACGGTACTAGGTCGGGTAACTTCGTGCCTGTGGCGGTAGTCGTTGGTTTTATCTCGTCAGGCTGTATACCGAGTGTCCTCGCCAATGGTCGACCGAGCCTCAAGGAGTTTCTTCCGTTGTTGATTAACACCACTGTACCGTTTGAGTCGTTCATCTTGAGTTCGGCTCCCAGGGGTTTGAAGACCTCGTCGCTTAGAGAGCACACGCTGTAGTAACCGTCAATTATCTGGTTGCTAGCGCCACCTACGAACAGTTTATTGTTGCTAGCGTTGATGTTAGTCCATCGTGGTAGGTAGGTGATATCGCACAGTGCGACTTCGAGTTGACCCGACGTGTTATCGATCGCGTGCGTCAGCTGAACGGCCTCGCCGCTCGTTATTCCTGGAAGTGTTATGTACATGTTAGAGTATATAAACTCATTATATAATAGTTTTAAAATGTACAAGCCGGGAGTGTTTTATCCTAAACAGGACGTAGATTTCCCCCCACATGAAGATCGTGGTTGCTCCTGGGTTGTATTTCAACACCCAGTTCATAGATGTGTTCCACAAGTATAAATTTCCGGTGACTAACGCTAAGGTAGTTCACGCTTGGTTCAACAACCCGATGCAGTTCTGGCAGAATCAACTCAACTTCGCCGTGTGGTGCGCTACAACGGGGTGTGGTGTGACATTGACCGACACACGGCGTGGCCCACTGAGTCAGTCTGTGTTCACGTTTCACGTGTACTACCAGGTCAGGCGTATCCTCAAAGAGATCAGCGCCCCGCTCCCACAGGAAAAGGCATGGAATGCAGTAAACAACCAGTACGATAGACGGGCCTACGAACGTATTTGCAACGAATTCGAACTAAACACGAAGACGGATTGGCGTTTGCCGGGACCGAACCACGGGTTGGGTATCCCCATCGTTCACAACATACCCCTCGTGGAAGCCAGCGAGAAGTTGAAGGAATGGGGATACAAGTCGTATCATCACCTCACAACCAACGAGTGGGATGACCGTTACATGGCTTTCGACAACAGTAAGGATTACAGAGTCTGGAGGTTTGAGCAGGGGGGCAGCGGATGACTGGAAAAAGTTCATGCTGGACACATCGAAAGGGTTCACTCGTGCCGGGGTAATCAGGTTAAACGACTCAATTCGAACGTACGTGTGGGCGCTGTTGGGTGCGCAGACGCAAACGCGTTCCAATATCCTAGGCAAGGGGACTGCTTACGACGCTCAGAAACAGTTCGTTGTCAACGTTGAGGATGCTATCAATGCTCCAGTTGATCTCCCGAGTGCCATTAAACGCTACCAAGACGTGTTGGAATACGCCAGGTCGAAAGTCGACTACGTGTTCGACGTGGGACTGTACATGGCTCCGAGCGATATGCAACTGAGAGTAAAAAAAGTGGTGGGCTACAACAACGAAATAGTCATAGCCACGGCGGACCAAAAGTTGGGCGTCAACCTCGATGTCAACGTCCCCCACGTCCCATCACCCACGACCGGTGAAACGGGTATAGTGGCGCCATCCCCGGAGCCTAGGGTTCAACCAACACCCCCTGTGGGGGGTGACCCCACACACACAGCAGCACATTGATCGTAAAACAGCCATGGTGGTTGGTGGGGTAGCTTTGGGACTTATTTGGTTAAAAATTCCTTAGCCGCTACGTACACGAGACCCACCACACCGACGATGGCTGCCCACAGGTTTTGACTGAGCCACGTGGCAGTTTTAGCCAGAGCGCTCAGCAACCACGAGACGATGCTACCCAGGATGCCGGGCAGGGCTTCTGCGGCCTTACCAGCCAGTTTAGCCAGGGCTTCCCCTAGTTTTTTATCCACTCTTTGACACCACCTGTCAAAAAATAATCGAAAAATAATTGTTGCGTACCAATTACGCATTTAAAATGTTAAATACACAAAAAGGTTAAAACAAATGCGTACGGAATATATTTATAAAAACCGCTTGCGTAATGAAAAAGACATCGATTGCTATCAAGTTGTACTGTTAGTATAGGACTAGTGTTGTACTGTCAGTATAGGATGAGTGATTTTTTATGAAATCATTTCCATTATATTTAAGTTGGTTTTGATTAGGTATGGCATAAGGCAGAACATACCTGCTTAGTAAACGTACTCAATGACGTAATACTTAGGTGAGTAATATGACTGGAATACTCACATATTTGAAAGCAGTGGGTAACGGAAAATGAAATACCCACTCAACATTCATAATACCCACTCAAAAAAAATACAGTGGGTACAGTACCCACATAAATCAAATCTTATCTGGAGCTCTGATTGGTCGGAGTGTATATACGACCAAGCAATCAATCATGTTTTCTCATAATCGAACACAAACAATTCTGGAACACTTGTTTTCATTAACAATATATTTCACAAGGTTGGTTTTGTCTGTTACATTTCATAAGCACTACAAGCTCGTTCCAAGTCATGATTGAATATATCTTAAAGACTCTAAGAAATTTATGTTCCTTACATATTTGTCATCCTTTAAAGATATGAAATTTTGCACCAAAAAACCCCAAGAACTACATGGTTTTTTTTCCTTATTTGAGCATTAACAAAAATAGATATGAAATTTTGCACCAAAAAACCCCAAGAACTACATGGTTTTTTTTCCTTATTTGAGCATTAACAAAAATAACCAGGAACATTTCATAAATGACGCTAACCAGTTTTTTTCGATGATTGATCGGTTGTAATGAACAAATCATCAATTATGAGATTTTAACCAATTCCCAACACTAGTGGACATTACCGAAACACAGCATTCAGAGTAACCAGGGATAGAAATACTTTTTTTTCTAAGTGTGCCTAAGGGCACCAGACAAATATTTTAGGTGTGCCTTTCAGAAATTAAGTATGCCCACATGTTTTTAGAATAAATGACAATGATGATGATCATTTATAATTTATTGTTAAATAAAGAAATGGGTAAATGAGCATTCAAATATGTATGGTATTATTCAGTTTGGAAAAAAAAAATTGTTTGGGGGATTAAATGACTGAATGTGAGTTATGTGTCTAGAAAATTAGGCGTGTCAAAAGGGCACAGAGAACATTTTTCAGCCATGCCATTTCAATATTTACTATGCCATGGCACACTAATATATGGGGTATTTCGAACCCTGGTAACAGACTTTTAGCTTGTAAATAAACATAACTGAGTAGTTCTCCTACAGACTGACAGTCAGTACAGGTATATTGTGGCAGACATCTTGTATATATCCTAGCTTCTGGAAACGCACATCAAGTATGTACAATGGAGCAACTATTGATGTTCCTGATGGCTTTCCTTTTGATGTGACTGAAATTTCTGAATCAAGGTGGCATTGAATGTTAGTAAACTGACATCTCATTCACATCTGCATTAAATGTGGATGGTCAGTTTCCTGAGAGTTGACCGGAACCTCCTGTTTGTGACATCTTCATGCAGACAGATATAAAGGTACTGAGGATAAACACCTGACCCAGTTATGGTTTGTTTCTTCACAGCTGTGGCGGCAACATGCTGATGAATGTTGGACCCACCAAAGATGGCCTGATCATACCCCTGTTCCAGGAACGCCTGCTGAATATGGGCGAGTGGCTCAACGTCAATGGTGATGCCATCTACAGTACTCGTCCCTGGACTTTCCAGAACGACTCCCTCACCAACAATACATGGTAAATATTGGATCCTAGCCGTTATTGTTCTGGAATTGTGTTCCTGTGCCAACATATGATGTGATAGTGTTTCTATACCAACATATGATGTACGTGATAATGTTTCTATGACAACATATAATGTGATAGTGTTTCTATGACAACATATAATGTGATAGTGTTTCTATGACAACATATAATGTGATAGTGTTTCTGTGCCAACATATAATGTGATAGTGTTTCTGTGACAACATATAATGTGATAGTGTTTCTATGACAGCATATAATGTGATAGTGTTTCTATGACAACATATAATGTGATAGTGTTTCTGTGCCAACATATAATGTGATAGTGTTTCTATGACAACATATAATGTGATAGTGTTTCTATGACAGCATATAATGTGATAGTGTTTCTATGACAACTATAATGTGATAGTGTTTCTATGACAACTATAATGTGATAGTGTTTCTATGACAACATATGACATGATAGTGTTTCTATGACAACATATGACATGATAGTGTTTCTATGACAACATATAATGTGATAGTGTTTCTATGACAACATATAATGTGATACTGTTTGTATGACAACATATTATGTGATAGTGTTTGTATGACAACATATGACATGATAGTGTTTGTATGACATGATAGTGTTTCTATGACAACATATGACGTGATAGTGTTTCTATGACAACATATGACATGATAGTGTTTCTATGACAACATATTACATGATAGTGTGTCTATGACAACATATGATGTGATAGTGTTTGTATCTCAGTTGAGGCAGCCAACAAAGGCTGAAATATTTTATTATGCGCACACAGACTATAAACACTAAACTCAAATAGTGTTTCATGCCAATGTAGGCTGGAGAAGTATAACATAAACAAGAGTCAAAGAACTTCCAAATTTGCAATGTCAAACTCTAAAGCACTGACCAGTGTATATCACAAGCAGTGTCCCACGATACATCCAGGGACAGATTGACCAGTGTATATCACAAGCAGTGTCCCACGATACATCCAGGGACAGATTGACCAGTGTATATCACAAGCAGTGTCCCGCGATACATCCAGGGACAGATTGACTAGTGTATATAACAAGCAGTGTCCCACGATACATCCAGGGACAGATTGACCAGTGTATATAACAAGCAGTGTCCCACGATACATCCAGGGACAGATTGACCAGTGTATATAACAAGCAGTGTCCAACGATACATCCAGGGACAGATCGACCAGAGTATATCACAAGCAGTGTCCCACGATACATCCAGGGACAGACTGACCAGTGTATATCACAAGCAGTGTCCCACGATACATCCAGGGACAGATTGACCAGTGTATATCACAAGCAGTGTCCCACGATACATCCAGGGACAGACTGACCAGTGTATATCACAAGCAGTGTCCCACGATACATCCAGGGACAGACTGACCAGTGTATATCACAAGCAGTGTCCCATGATACATCCAGGGAGAGACTGACCAGTGTATATCACAAGCAGTGTCCCACGATACATCCAGGGACAGACTGACCAGTGTATATCACAAGCAGTGTCCCACGATACATCCAGGGACAGATTGACCAGTGTATATCACAAGCAGTGTCCCATGATACATCCAGGGAGAGACTGACCAGTGTATATCACAAGCAGTGTCCCACGATACATCCAGGGACAGATTGACCAGTGTATATCACAAGCAGTGTCCCACGATACATCCAGGGAGAGACTGACCAGTGTATATCACAAGCAGTGTCCCACGATACATCCAGGGACAGACTGACCAGTGTATATCACAAGCAGTGTCCCACGATACATCCAGGGAGAGATTGACCAGTGTATATCACAAGCAGTGTCCCACGATACATCCAGGGACAGACTGACCAGTGTATATCACAAGCAGTGTCCCACGATACATCCAGGGACAGATTGACCAGTGTATATCACAAGCAGTGTCCCACGATACATCCAGGGACAGATTGACCAGTGTATATCACAAGCAGTGTCCCACGATACATCCAGGGACAGATTGACCAGTGTATATCACAAGCAGTGTCCCATGATACATCCAGGGAGAGACTGATCAGTGTATATCACAAGCAGTGTCCCACGATACATCCAGGGACGGACTGACCTGTGTATATCACAAGCAGTGTCCCACGATACATCCAGGGACAGACTGACCAGTGTATATCACAAGCAGTGTCCCACGATACATCCAGGGACAGACTGACCAGTGTATATCACAAGCAGTGTCCCACGATACATCCAGGGACAGATTGACCAGTGTATATCACAAGCAGTGTCCCACGATACATCCAGGGACAGATTGACCAGTGTATATCACAAGCAGTTTCCCACGATACATCCAGGGACAGATTGACCAGTGTATATCACAAGCAGTTTCCCACGATACATCCAGGGAGAGACTGACCAGTGTATATCACAAGCAGTGTCCCACGATACATCCAGGGACAGACTGACCAGTGTATATCACAAGCAGTGTCCCACGATACATCCAGGGACAGATTGACCAGTGTATATCACAAGCAGTGTCCCACGATACATCCAGGGACAGATTGACCAGTGTATATCACAAGCAGTGTCCCACGATACATCCAGGGACAGATTGACCAGTGTATATCACAAGCAGTGTCCCACGATACATCCAGGGAGAGACTGACCAGTGTATATCACAAGCATTGTCCCACGATACATCCAGGGACAGATTGACCAGTGTATATCACAAGCAGTGTCCCACGATACTTCCAGGGAGAGACTGACCAGTGTATATCACAAGCAGTGTCCCACGATACATCCAGGGACGGATTGACCAGTGTATATCACAAGCAGTGTCCCACGATACATCCAGGGACAGACTGACCAGTGTATATCACAAGCAGTGTCCCACGATACATCCAGGGACAGACTGACCAGTGTATATCACAAGCAGTGTCCCACGATACATCCAGGGAGAGTCTGACCAATGTATATCACAAGCAGTGTCCCACGATACATCCAGGGACAGATTGACCAGTGTATATCACAAGCAGTGTCCAACGATACATCCAGGGACAGACTGACCAGTGTATATCACAAGCAGTGTCCCACGATACATCCAGGGAGAGATTGACCAGTGTATATCACAAGCAGTGTCCCACGATACATCCAGGGACAGATTGACCAGTGTATATCACAAGCAGTGTCCCATGATACATCCAGGGAGAGACTGACCAGTGTATATCACAAGCAGTGTCCCACGATACATCCAGGGACAGATTGACCAGTGTATATCACAAGCAGTTTCCCACGATACATCCAGGGAGAGACTGACCAGTGTATATCACAAGCAGTGTCCCACGATACATCCAGGGACAGACTGACCAGTGTATATCACAAGCAGTGTCCCACGATACATCCAGGGACAGATTGACCAGTGTATACCACAAGCAGTGTCCCACGATACATCCAGGGACAGACTGACCAGTGTATATCACAAGCAGTGTCCCACGATACATCCAGGGACAGATTGACCTGTGTATATCACAAGCAGTGTCCCACGATACATCCAGGGACAGACTGACCAGTGTATATCACAAGCAGTGTCCCACGATACATCCAGGGACGGACTGACCAGTGTATATCACAAGCAGTGTCCCACGATACATCCAGGGACAGACTGACCAGTGTATATCACAAGCAGTGTCCCACGATACATCCAGGGACAGACTGACCAGTGTATATCACAAGCAGTGTCCCACGATACATCCAGGGACAGATTGACCCGTGTATATCACAAGCAGTGTCCCACGATACATCCAGGGAGAGACTGACCAGTGTATATCACAAGCAGTGTGCCACGATACATCCAGGGACAGACTGACCAGTGTATATCACAAGCAGTGTCCCGCGATACATCTAGGGAGAGACTGACCAGTGTATATCACAAGCAGTGTCCCACGATACATCCAGGGACAGACTGACCATTGTATATCACAAGCAGTGTCCCACGATACATCCAGGGACAGACTGACCAGTGTATATCACAAGCAGTGTCCCACGATACATCCAGGGACAGACTGACCAGTGTATATCACAAGCAGTGTCCCACGATACATCCAGGGACAGACTGACCAGTGTATATCACAAGCAGTGTCCCACGATACAACCAGGGACAGATTGACCAGTGTATTCAGTCACTGAGGCGGAACATCCAATCAATGTTTGCTCATTTTACGACAAGCCTAGATTGCCAGGAACCAATTGTTCCATTATATCATGTAACTTGTGTTGTTTCAGGTATACCTCTAAAGTGACGGCCAGTGGCCGGAATGTGTATGCTATCATCCTCGACTGGCCGAAAGGGGAGACTCTGAGCCTTGGCCGACCTTTGACCACGGTTGCCACCACAGTGAGCCTGATGGGATATCCTGGGAAGTTCAACTGGAAGGAGCGAAGCACTGGCGGCATGGACATCGAGATTCCAGCCATCCCCATCAACAAGATGCCGTGTAAATATGCCTGGGCGTTCCAGCTGACTGGTATAGAGAATTGATGAAGTAGGACCACATAGAAGCTGGACTGGAGCCTTGTAAAATCAAGTGTCCTGTTTATCACACCCAAGCCATAACAAAGCAATGTTATTTTTAAGAACTGTTGAGAAACACTCTTTCATCTCCAGTTTTCATGAGGAACATGAATATTTGTTTAACTGCCCAAGCAACAGTGTGATCATTCAGTATGTATATTATATTTCAGTCTGGTACACTGGTATGATTTCTAGCCATGTAATCTTCCCCACCAGGAAGTGGGTCCTGGCTCCATATGATGAACTCTGTGTACAGTGGATATACATTTCTACATGTGTGTATGTTTTTGTTTAGATGTGTACATATTTCTTTGACATTCCATTGGATGGTAAATGTATGTCCTGTATACAAGTCTCTGATTGAACACAGTATTTGGGCATTAGTGGTGTCCATGGGTAAAAGTCACGATATTCTTCAAACACAACATGGAAGGACATTTAAAAACATGCCTACAATTTGAACCAGTTTTGAAGAAATATCCAAATGTGATATTTATGATATCATTTGAATTTGAAAACAAATACATGCTAATATGCTTATAAGGCTGTTCTAATAGGCCTATTTCATATACAGGTATGTAACTATTTATTTCACATGATATTGACTGTGGAAATGTAGACACATTCTGGACAGATTGTACATGCCATACATGAGAGAATCTTGTGTCCTATGATTGTGATCATTGAACTGAATCAGGCACTATTCAACCCTTTCACGACTTCATGTATTTCTGTACTTTAACTTGCTTATCATATTCACACCCATTTTGACGTTTCTAAGTACAAACTGTAGTTTTGAAATACAGACTATAATTATTCATAAAGCCTCAACTAATTAAATTACATAAATGATTGGAAAAAGTTGTGTTTTTTTTAACATCTATATGTGAAAAAGATGGAACTCTTGTAGTAGTTATATTCAAAATAATTAGGTAAAAAAGTGTTAATTCAAATTGCATAGATAATCTTGTTCACCCATAGTTTCACTTCCTGTATAAGCACTGAACTGGCAACATGTGACTTGATATCTCTGCAGAACAATTAATGTCAAATTTTTATTTATACCAGTATTTCATGCTTAACTGGAGAAACAAAGGGGGAACGCTGGTCAGCTATGACAGGGTTTACTATAGAATGTGTAAAACCCTTAATTTGACATATAGTCAGGTGTACAAAGTTGTTAACAAATCAGTGTTTACCACAGGGGTCATGTCAAAATCAAAACCAGGTAGGAAACTCAAACTGGATAGCTTTGATAAGGGTGTCATAGGCCGTTCAGTTTATAAACGCAAAATCCCACCGACGTGTGGTAACATACAAGATGAGATCAAAGATACAATAAATGTCTCGAAAACAACACTTATTGTAGCTCTGGTAGAAATGGGGTTCAGGTACACCAAAGGGGAGATGACAGAGCTGTGAGAAAAGTACTCAATCCTGTCCATGCGATCAGCTTATCTGAGAACAGTTGAAGAATACCGCAAATTGGGGTTTCAAATCATATACCTTGATGAAAGCTGTTGTAATAAAAATCACACAAACGATCAGATGTGGCTTCCTTCAGATTGTTCTAAGGCACCAGTGTTACCATCAGGCAAAGGTAGAAGCCTGATCATCTTGCATGCTGGTACCCATAGCAAGGGACTGATTGGGGGTTGTGACTTTGTTTTTGAGGCCAAGAAATCTGATGGTGATTACCATAGCTAAATGAATGGGCAGGTATTTTTGGATTGGTACGAACATCAGCTTTTACCGTAGCTGGACGAACCAAGCGTTATCATTTTGGATAACGCCAGTTACCATAACATGCGTGCCCCTGGTACCATCACACCGACAATGAGCAATCTCAAGGCTCAGTTGCAGGATTTTCTCACTTCCTGTAACGTGCCTTACAGGCAATCAGAAACAAAGCCCCAGCTCATGGCAGCACAAAAAGCTAATCCAGTACATCACTGACGAACTAGCTGCAAAACAAGGCCACATATAGTTTGGCATGAAATGCATGTGGACCCGATTTTTTGTAAATATCTCTTCATCTAATGACCCAATCGATCTCCAACTGTGCAAGTGGATGTTTTGTCAGACAACCTAATCACATTGTAAATCACCGATTTGATGCATTTGTATTAAAGAATCTGTCTATGTAACTGTCAACAAAATTGACTGCTTGCAGAGGGAGGGAGCCAATGACCTGTAACAGCGGCAGTGTTGGGTCAGAAAGGTCAACGTTCGTCAATGTAGGTCAGCTATGCACGTGACAGGTATGAAGAGGTGTCACAGGTCGTGAATAGGGTAAGGTGGGTGCCAACTGTTAACCATCAGACGGAGTTTGTTTCTCTGAGTTGTTCAACATTAACCACAAAACCCATTAGTGAGAATTATTCTGTAGGTTAAAATCTTTAAATTTGTAATGTTAATGTCATATTTTGTTTATGCAGTACCTAAGTGGAAATGCATTTAAAGAACACAGAAAGTATATTTACACTAAATCATTAATCGGACCACCTATGGTTAGAACTCAACAACTGTTAAAGCCCCGTTCCCTCGGACACAAGCACACACAATCATGCACACTCATTGAAGAAAAGATACAATGAAGACAAAAGTGTTATGTTTTGATGTCGTTCACATTCCAAATTAAGCAATGCATTTCTAATAGCTTTAAGCATATAGATAGTTAATATTTATATTTTCATGATAATTTTATGTGAAATGAGTTTTTCATGTTACACTATAAGTCGTTGGAGTCAGTGCTGTCATTGTTACAAGAAGTTATATTTCTTTGAGCATATCTGGCTGGATACTATTATTATCTGTAAATATAATAACAGAATTAAACTTCATCAAGTTCACTCCATTCTTCCACAGAGGAGTCATCAGTGTCCAGACGAATGACAACTGGATTAACTGTTTGCTCCTTCAAGACATCTTTGAGCCAGTACTTTTTCTCCACCTTCTTGACGTGTTCAACACATGCATGCCAGCGTGCAATGTCAATGTCACATGTAGCAGTGTTGACAATGTGCTTGACATCATTCAACTTGAATGATTGATTTTTCCGGGCCACTGTACTTTTAAGGTCTCCCCAGATAAGTTCGATTGGGTTGAGATCACAGTGGTACGGTGGTAATCTCAAGACCTTATGGCCGTGTTGGCGTAGCATGTTGTCAATGTTATATGTGGGTGGAGGTTTGTTAGGTTTAATCAAAGAGTACAACTGTGGTTTAGTGGCCTTAATTGAAAATTGTATATTGTTATTTGTTAGCCATTGCTGCATATCTGACTTCTTTGTATTGGAAGTTTGGCACCTATTGTTTGGATCTCGAACACTGTGATAGGGAGCATTGTCCATGACAACAAGACTATTGTCAGGCAGAGCTGGCAACGATTGTTCCTCAACATACTGTGTGAAAACCGTTGAGTTCATTTCTGTATGATAGTCCCTACCATCTGTGCTCTATGACCGAAGTACCAGATCACACCCAGGTAGGAATCCACCGTGGGAACCAGCATGAAGAACGATTAAACGTTCACCTTTGCCTGTTGGTATTTTCCTACCATCACTGGGATCAGTGGGTAGCCACTGTCTGGCAGCAGTATAGTTTGCATTGATCCAGGTCTCATCCAGATATATAGGTTCGAACCCATCCTCTCTTGCCTGCTTAATTTCTCTCAGATAGTTACACCTTATTTTCACCATATCAGATCTCTCACACATTCCAAGTTTCTGGTTTGCTACCTTCTTGTACTTGTATCCACATTTGAGCAGTAGTTTGCTTAGCATAAACCTAGAAACATTAAATCGTGATCCTCTGCAAGGATGTGTTATAACTTTCTTGTGGACAGGTGTTCATTTCTAGCAAATAGCCGGCGAATGACATCTCTGATGACCCTGATGTCAAAAAATCTAACTTTGGATGCCTACCTTTTTGTACAAGGTTTTGTTTATTGGTCGTTGGTTTATTTTTCACAGTTTTTAACACGATGTTCTTTTTCATGCCAAGAGCAAAAGTTGTACGTTTCATGTAATCCGACACCTTATAAATCGGTTTGCTACGTTTGCTCTCTTTTTAAAAAAAATTCAACACATTTCTAATTAAACGTTTAGCATCATCTGAATAAACTTTCATGATGACAGCTAGAAGTCGTCAATGTGAATGATCCAAACGGTCTATCACAGTGCAGTGCACAGGTAACTATCATGAACTACACGTGCATTTACCTTTCTGACCCAAAACTGCCGCTGTTACAGGTCATTGGCCCCTTCCCTCTGCAAGCCTTCTGCGTTCTGCTGTTTATTTTGTTGACAGTTACATAGACAGATTCTTTAATACAAATGCATCAAATCGGTGATTTACAATGTGATTAGGTTGTCTGACAAAACATCCACTTGCACAGTTTGAGATCGATTGGATCATTGGATGGTGAGATATTTACAAAAAACCGGGTCCACATGCATTTCATGCCAAACTTTTTTTTATAGTTCACGTACACCAGTACGGCACTGTGAGCTCAATCCCATCGAGCTGATCTGGGGTAAAAAGTAAGAATTTTATTGCACATTCCACATTCAAGCTTTCAGACGTTAAAGAGCTTGTGTATGCTTCTTTTGCGAGAATTACCCCAGAAGTGTGGCAAAAAGCTGAAGACCGTTTTCTCAAATCGAGGACGAATACCGTCTGCGGGACGGCGTTAACGTCAGCCGAGTTGCACTTGTTGTAATTCCGCTAGAGTCCTCGACCAGCAGTGATACTGACACTTGATATTTTGAGACGGTCCCTGACAAGCGGTGCCCGTGCCGCTGTCACCCTGTCTGCCTGCCAGGTGGGTCACAGTATAGTTTGTTCCTTAGACGTGTTTCTACCTTGGAAGTTTTTCGATATTTTAGAGTAATCATTATGATTAAGGAATGGTACATCGTGATTACTCATTACATCGTGATTACTCATATGCCATATTAGGTCGAGGTGGTATGAATGATTATAT